GTCGCGTGCTTCTTGCACCACTGGAGCCAGAATTTGAACGATCCATTGATCAGTGAACTCATTGACGGCGCCTTTGGAGCGCTCCTGCAGCTGGACAACGCGGTTATCACTGCTAAGGTGCACGAACAAGTCTTGCCTGTCATTCGCTCCATGTTGGTCCAGAGCGCGACGGATTTGGGAGATGCTGGCAATGGCATTTACACTGCTGGTAGTGCGTTGACGATCCTGAAGACTCTGCTAAGACACTCTTTCGCGTCCAGTGGCACCTTGTCGAGCGGCGGTGCTGACCCTGCTACCCAACAGCTCGGAGCTCAGGTTGTTCAGCAGACGTTCGAGCCTCTGGTGACTGTTCTTGGCGCTGTAGAGGACGAGAAGGTGCTTAATGCTGGCTCAGAATGCCTCAAGTGGTTCGTCATGTTTGCCGTGGACCCTCTGGCCGCGTACACCACTGCTGCTGGCACCAACGGCATCGACACGACACTCTCTGTCTCTGCCAAGTTGTTGTCTCCTGCCGTCTCTGATGCCAGCGCTACGTGCGTCGGTGGATTGATTACGCAGATACTGCTCAAGCTCGGTCCCAGTCTACCTACTGCGACGGTGCAGTCAATCCTTAGTGCTGTCTGTGCTCGACTGGCGGCGACTGAGTTGCCGTCTCTGGCTCAGTCTCTTTGCATGGTGTTTGCTCGTCTCGTTCACTCTCACGGACCTGAAATCCTGAACGTATTGGAGCAGTTGCCGCCTCCTGCTGCCCCCGCTGGTCAGACTCAGGCTCCGAACATGCTGACGTTTGTGTTCCGCACTTGGATCGAGAAACAGCAGGATTTCTACGGACTGTACTGCATCAAGGTGACGATGAGTGCTTTGCTCAAGGTTGTCGAGTGGAACGATCCTCGAATCAATGCCATTACGGTCACTGGTAGCGCTGTGGACTCGGCAAGCACCGATGGTGCGGGTATCCGGACGCGATCGAAGGCTCGAAGCACTCCTGCTAGCGGCCAGACGCAGCACACGACGGTGCACTTCTTGACCAAGTTTGTTGTTATCCTCGCCAAGACAATGTCCAACTTGGCAGAAGATGAAGAAGAGTGGGAATCATCGGATGATGACTCGTCCGATGGCGAGGGTGACGATGACGTTGTCTCCGGCGCTGGTGGATCCTCGGTGTTCGCTCCTGCTGGTAAGCCATTGCAATGTGTAATTGACCTGAATTCGCCACTTACACGGTATTATTCATTATGTACAGAGAATTATGAGCTTCTATCGGACCGCCTGGATGGTGATGGTGCTGTGGAAGTTCATGATGGCGAAGAGCCCGAGGAAGAGTTTGAGGCGTACTTTGACCCGCTTAATGAGGTGGACTTGAAGGTAAGCAGTCTTGTGTTGGGCTTGCTTTATCACATTTCTAACTAGATTGCTTGAATTCTGCTAGAATGCTATTCCTCAGGCGCTGCAGAATGTCACGGCCAATGCCAGTCTGCTTCAGGCTATTATGCCCGAGCTGACTGCTGCCGATAAGGAAGCACTCGCTGCGGTGTCGGCGCTCTCGTCGTAGACTTCAAAGATCTGTGAGCTCGTCTTCACTCATCCTGATCTGGTGCTACAACGCCCTTGTTAAAGAAAATCTCACGCTGTTTTTTTTGAAATGTTAACCTTGTTTATGAGTGCTTTTTGTGCTTAGTTTTCTCAGGCGAAGGTGCACCAACTTGATCCCAGCGGATGAGTCTCAATCTTCGAGTCAGGATCAGTGCAGCTCCAAGCTCTTTGCCAGCAGGATCAAGACGTATCTCTTCCAACAAGTATTTCAGTCTGTGCAGCTTCATCATGGATACGTTATAGTCCAGAGATGCGAGCAAGTCAAGCGCCCACAGTGCTTGTTGTCCGATCTCCGTGGGTGTGAAGTCCACATTAGCTAAAGCCTCGAGAGAAGTGGCCTGCCCTGATGCATCGACAGGAGGTGGCGGTGGAGCTTTCTTGGTCTCCAGATACCCCAACCAACCAGCGGATTCGGGACATTTCGCGAGCTTGGCGAGCCGCTCTGCTTCGGCTTGTTCGCTGGCTTTCTTCTCACGCTGCATCTCTCGAGCCTTGAACAACAAACGGATCGAACCTTCAATCCCACCGGTTTGCCCTACAAGTTTGGCATGTCGCTCTTCATAAAGGTAAAAGTAAAGATACCGAATCTTCAGTTTAAGAAATTGACTTACCTTCTGTTGCTACGAAAGAGATAAAGCGGCATACGTGGACGTATAAGCTCAAGTATTTATCGACGTCAAACCGATTCAGCGTGTTCGTGACGAGTGTTGAGACAGCGAACGTGTCGAGTTCGGAAAATAATGCC